ATTAATTTAGTAATCATCAAGCATAAAAATGCTAAATGTTCAAATCAAGAGGTCAGTTGGTTTTGTCAAGATGCCTAAAATGTGTGCCCCAGATTTGGTTTGGGGTTTGGCTTCAAGAGTGCATATTCAAGGGACTACATGATCAATCCAAGGTGAGTTAGAATGTCACAAATGCACTTTTATGCCTGCAACATGTTGATACAAATAACACATTCAGTTTGGTGACAACACATTTTGTGCCTGGGCATCCCAGTGGATGTTGTCTATTTTTGGGTGTATCAATGATTTACTTTTTTCATCATGAGTCATTAAGTTTTTCCATCAAGAGTGACAAAGTACGTGCAACTGATACATATGATTATGTATTATTATAAGTATGGTTATAAGCCATATTATATAAGTATATTTAGATTTTATAGTGGGTGCTATCATGGTCTTCTGCTTTGGGAGGGGGCGTATTTTGCTTTGCTCTTATTGGTGTAAGACTCAGTTTTTTTCTATTAATTACATTGCATTTTCATATATGAAAAAAACTTATATGAAATATCCATAAGCAGGGTTTCCAGGGGGCATTAAAAAGCATTATTAGTCATTAAATGGATTTTGTCGAAATTAAGGTCTTATTAAAAAGCATTAAATTCAATTTCAAGTGGTATAAAAATAATATATTGGCAGTAACATTTATTACAATTAGGGGTGTCAAATTATCGCGTTAATTGCGATTAATTAATTACAGTCATATTTAGCATTTTATGTTTTTTAATCGCATTAATCTAATTTTTAATCTCTAACTTTACTGTTTCTGTATGTGAGTTGCCTTATTAGAAAATCTGTTTTTATGTGTTGGGACAACAACACACAAAAAAACAACACATTTATACATTTTTTTATTTCGGTAATTCCACTCATTGCCGGAAACCCACACAAAATGCACGCGGTAAGAGCGATGTAGGCAGCACGGTGGCTGAGTGACTAGCAGTCATGCCTCACAGCAAGAAGGTTCTGGGTTTGATCCCCAGGTCGCCCGGGCCTTTCTGTGTGGAGTTTGCATGTTTCTCCCTGTGTCTGGATGAGTTTCCTCCGGGTGCTCCGGTTTCCCCCATCAACCCAAAACATGCTACAGGTCTCCAGAACAGTTGATAGTCAAGGTCAGTTAAATCAAAAATAAATAAATCAAATAAATCAATCAATGAACCTGTCCAGGGACGACAGGTGGAAATTAGCACTGATGCTACAACCTGATATACAATGCATCTCTCCTGTCAAGGTTAATGCAAAAATTGTGCGCTGTCCCTGTCTCAAATAAATAAATAAATGTAAACATCAT